GCCTTCCGCAACATTTTCAACGTGTCCGCACAAGAATATTCGTTCCGCAAACAAAATTTGATGCAAGTTCTTTGCTCAACAAAATCACCCATTGTAAAAATCGAAAAATTCACTTTTGGTCGTTTACTAAAACACGTGTAACTCGGAGATAATTAAACCTTTTAACAAACAGACGCTTGGCAATTGTTATAGACAGTCCTACCAACCTAGGAAAAAAACAATTGCCTGCCTTCCTAATGTCCGGGAGTTTTAAATGACAATTTCACCTTACTTTTTGATCACAGTAGTATTAGGTTGGGAAATAAGTTCGTAGCGTTTTCCATATTTTCTTTTATTTTACAACGATTTTTTGCTGTTTGACAAAGTGTATAATATTCATTCGATAGAGCTCTTCCTGCTCTACAAAACTGTGCTAATCGTCTTTTCGAGTAGTTTAATTTTTTATTACTTTTGAGGCTCAGAAATGGAATATCCAGGAGGTAAAAAGCAACATTTTCGACACCTTCTCTTCTTCGCTTTTCATCGAGGCCACAAAGCTGCTGAAGCAGCCCGAGACATTTGCAACGTATACGGAGAAGGTGTCACAGGCGATTCTACAGCACGGAAATGGTTTGCGAAGTTAAAAAATGGCGATTTTGACGTCGACGACACGCCCCGCAGCGGAAGACCTTCCGAATTCGACGAAGAGCGTCTCAAAGCACTTTTGAAGGAGGACGGTCACCAAACAAGTCGTGAATTGACCGAAGAAATGAACCGCGATCATAAAACGATCCTCAATCATTTTCATTCAATGGGATTTGCCGAAAAATCGGGAACCTGGGTGCCTCACGAGCTTAACGAGAACAACAAAGAAAATCGCCTTCAAATTGCTTGATAAAAACGCTACGAACTTATTCCCTAACCCAATATATATAAACTCTCATGGTACACCTTACATTATAGCTAAGATGAAAGTACACCTTTCATTCAAAGCTCGATAAATCGGCCCGAAAGAATCGTATATCAAATTTTGATGGATCGAATCTAAAAAATAAATTCCAAAGTTTCTTGCCGGCCAAAGGAGCAGCGGTCATTGGCTCTCGAACGAAGCCAACGATTCTTTATTTTCAATATTCCGTATTTTATTCCATATTATGCTACTAGTTAGCAGCTGCAGCGCCTTTCAAAACAGCATCGTTTCCGCGAAACCGTGTAAGAAGAATCCTATTAAGGAAGGCACGGAATTTATCGTCGGAGAATTTATACGATCGCAAAAAAGAGGCTTTGCATCGCGTTCCGCGTCTTGTTTGGCGAATCGCTCATCCTTGGCGATCGTCTCGGGCCCTAAGCCCGTCCCGAAACCGGCCCTTCGGTGGTTCTAAATTTAGAACGGGCCCGAATCGAAGCGGCTCAAACGAGAGGATCTTTTTTGCAGCGGGCGTCCCTCTCGCGATTCTTCATCCGCCTTTTTTTTATCTCGGCATAAATAACAGGTTACGCGTTTTATGCGTTTTGTAATGCCGGGCCCCTGTACCGTGCAGTAACGCGCGAGGCGCAGGGGCCCAATTTTATTTACGGTATCCGTGATTCCGCCTCGTACAATCCGTCAGTAAAATATTCCCGGCTTCTTTACTGCTCCCGGCCACGACCGTTTCACAATTACGCGCGTCCCGCTGCTCCCTCGCGGGATTTCTCGGAAAATTAATCGTCCGGCAGAATCGTAATTACTTAAATCGACTTTTATTCTCGTTGCTGATGGCTCCGGGGAGCTTTTACAGCGCTCGAACGAGCTCCGTGCTCGCTGGAAAATTGCCCGCTGCAACGCGAAGAAGGCGCAACTGCACGCGCAGTTGGGTCTTCGATCGATCTAGTTTTAATAAAAATCGTTTCCGATGTTTCAGTTAGTTCACACGCGTTTGTCTTGCGATTTATAACACAGTTTCAAGATATAAAAAGATTCTTTACGAAATCAATATTTTCCCTGTTCTCTGGAAAGCACAGTTGGGTGCTTCATCGACATAGCTTCGATCGAAATTGTTCATGCTTTTTTATTTATTCTATACGCGTTGTACCTGACGAATTATAATATTTTTAAGACAAAACAATTAATTATAAAATCAATACCCTATTTGTTGTATTTCTTTTTCGTGATACTTAATGCACAGACAAAGCACAGTTGGGTTCTTGATCGATATAGCTTCGATCGAAATTGTTCATGCTTTTTAACTGTAATAGTTTTTAACTGAAATGAATTATAATATTTTTAAGCCAAAACAATTAATTATAAAATCAGTACCCTATTTGTTCTATTTCTTTCGTGATTCTTAATGCACAGAGAAAGCACGGTTGAGTTTTTCATCAAATTAGCTTGAAACGTGTCTATCCGATAATTTATAGGATTTTGTAAGAGAAAACAGATTGTGCAAAAATTAATCTTTCATCTGTTTTAATTTGTTCATCATCCTCGATTTACGGTGGAAAGCCAGTGGGATTTTCCATTCAACTAGCTTAAATAAAAAGCGTTCCTGCTAAATAATCTGTTTCAAACATTCCGGAAGACTTTTCGGAAGAGATTAGTATTTTGTCCATATTATTTCTATAATATCTAATTTATTTGTTTATTTATTCATTTATTTAACGGATAGAAATATCCTTTGTATAAAAATATTGAATTGCAATATCATTGCAGACCATTGTCGGGAAAAAGTGCGGGTAATAATTCGCGTCTAAGAGTAGGTCAAAAATATATCCAAAGATTCGAGCCATTCGACAAATAGAAATTAATAAAAATTCTGTTAGGACAACAAAATAACGAAACGATTTAATTGAAAATAGTTTGTTTATTTCTCTCCCGTGTTCAAGCAACATCGACGTGGAGAAAATTTAGTCGCAAATCGATCGATACAGTGCAATCAGGATCGGAAACACGGAGTTTCTTGCGCGGCCAAGGTCGTTGTCGCGTGGGCTTATCGACTAGCATAAAATCTGCAGTTATGGCAACTCGCACGTACCTACACACACCGACTGATTCGCTTTTCCGCAAGATACTGACCGCGGGGAAAGGATAGTTGCGTGTGTTGCATTGTCTATCGAGGAGAATTATTATCGATCGACATTGATCGTACGCGATCGTGTGGCTCGTCGTATATACTGGGTGTCCCCGAAATCTGGAACGATCTATTGTTCTGTTTGATCCAAATTTAATTCGTTGAAGCAATAAAGTCGAAACAATATTTAAGAATTCAAGAAGTTCAATGATTCTATGCATTTAGATACAAAAAAATAAGGTACTACGTATACAGGGTGGCTCAAATAAAGAGATAAAAGCTTCGAATACAACGAAGTACTGTAATGTCTCCTTTACTGACGCTCAGATTGTCCACTAAAATGGATAATTAGAGAAGAGGAGATAACTATATTATTCGAGCCTTGCGGCTCGTTTTTATAATTGTGGACAATTTATAACTATAAAAATAAACCGCAAGGCTCGAATAATTGTATCTCGTCTTCCCAAACTGTTCATTTCCCTGTGCAATCTGAGCAGACATTACTGTACCGCCGCTTCTCCGTGACGAGTACGGTAATGTCTCTCTAATTGACGCTGAGATTGTCCACAAAAATGGACAATTTGGGAAGAGGAGATGCGATTTTTCGAGCCTTGCGGTTCGTTTTCATAGTTACAAATTATCAAGAAATATAAAATCGAGCCGCAAGTCCCGAGTAATCGTATCTCCTCTTCCCAAATTGTCCATTTTTGTGGACAATCTAAGCGTCAATTAGAGAGACATTACTGTATACTCGTCGAACGCACAGCTAACTGGTTGAGATGTCGGCGAGCGTGAAAGAAAAAAAAGTCGAAGACCAGTCGTTTCGACTGGCTCGGTAGTTCAAGCGTTAAATAAATAAATAAATAAATAAATAAACAAATAAAAAAAGGGGTGTTTCGTTCCAGCGTGTGCCGTAGTCCGCGCCCAAAATATCAAGAAATATAAAAACGAGCTGCAAGGCTCGAACAATCGTATCTCCTCTTCCCAAATTGTCCATTTTCGTGCGCAATCTAAGCGTCAATTAGAGAGACATTACTGTACCTTAGATCCCGGAGCAAAGGCAGAGAGCAACGCCGATACGACGATGCGTTGCGCGATGGAGTCCCTAAAGCTTGATTTTTAGCAAGATTTTTGAAGAGGAGATAACTATATTATTCGAGCCTTGCGGCTCGTTTTTATAATTGTGGACAATTTATAACTATAAAAATAAACCGCGAGGCTCGAATAATCGTATCTTCTCTTCCCAAATTGTCCATTTTTGTGCGCAATCTGGACAAATATTTTCATTTGCGTTTCGATTCCAACAAATTTCACCTATTACATACAGGGTGGATCGAATAAAATGGTGAGGGCTTCCTTCTAATAGCAGATGTAAACTGAATTTGCGCTTGCAATTAAATGGGACAGGGTGAACGTTCGAGGCAGCATCGTAAAATGTTCGTACGCGGACCGACTCCAAGGCGACAGCCCATATTTTTCCGGCGGTTCGAGTTTTCGACCTTCCGAAGGCATTGACTTCGCGCGGGAAGATATTTTATTCAAATGAACGTATTCATGTACTCACACCCGCTGGTGCTCGTTGAGCCCATATCGGTATGTAAAATTGATGAGGTAGTAGACGAACAGGTACGCCAGCAGTTCTCGCCAAATTAGCTTGTACACGGAACCCCGCCATCTGCAAAACAAAAGCACAAACTAGCGTTAACAGCCGTCATGAAACGAGAAAATACGTTACAACGTTTTCCCGTATATACTGCATTAACGAACGAAAAATGATCGTTTAATAAAATACGGTAAAATGCCATTCGAAAGAATGTCATTAACGAAGATGAAATAACAACTGTGCGCAATCGTAGAAATAAGAAACTAAAGTACGAACGCCGCGTGTTGCAAAGAACGAAAAAGAGAAAATACGTTTACAACGTTTTCTCGTATATACTGCATTAACGAACGAAAAATGATCGCTTAATAAAATACGGTAAAACGCCATTCGTAAGAACGCCATTAACGAAAATAAAATAAAATAACTGTGCGCAATCGTAGAAATAAGAAATTACAGTACGAACGCCGCGTTTTACAAAGAACGAGAAAGAGAAAATATATTTAACGTTGATTACAAATTGAAAATACGCCTTCTCCCAATGACAGACGCCCACGTTCACGATAAGATTTTAATAATTGCTAACTAGCTAAGGATCAACATAATCTTGTTACGTTCGATCATAATTCGTAATTACAGTGCGTGTGTCCATAATCCTGGATCGACCGATCGATCGTTTCGCCCCAGCAGCAATTCGAGTTCCAGCAAACAAGTAATCCCCTCCTCCGAGAAACAGGCATGAGCGCATAATAAAGAAGCAGGCGAGCCGCCCACGCAGCTGAAAAGCCGCAATTATCGCATTAACGTCTGTCAGCGACGATAACGATTATCGCCGGACATTCGGGAACCGTCCGGGATCCCGGGCGGAATGTGTGTCAGGGTTAGTTCGATTTTACGAGCCCGGGGTACATTGAATTCGCAATATTTCGTGGTTGTGAAACGGACACGCGACAAGGCGGACGACCGACGCGCGCCGGTAACTGTTCCTTTTGATATTGCAAGTGCATTGCGGGCTCCGATTTCATTAGCTATTCGCGGAATTTTACCGCCGCTGCCCGAAAGACGGCCGAAACGTGGGCATACGCGCCGGCTAGGAACGAAACCAGCGAAGGTCGCCCGATACCCGAAGGTTTCGTCAATACCAATCGCGAGGCGACAATGACTTTAAATTCAAATCCCGCAGCCGGCGGATAGCGCGACGAAACGTAGTGCAAACGAGGCCAAAGTGAAAAGCCGCGCATTATCGACGGCCGCGCTTGTGTCTACAATGTTCGCCCGCACGATTCTACCTTGTACGCGAGCTGGCAGACGCGTTATGAACGGCGTGAAAGCGATTTCAACCCTGTTGCTTGAAACGTCGAACGGCTGGCATTGGACGATATTAACGATAACATATTTTCTCGAACGCGAACGTTTAATAAGAAATAAACCGAATGTTATAAAACACAGTGCTTGTACGTTACCGACTCATACGAATATATGTATAACGATATCTCGAGGTGAGAGAAATTCGGAAGACGGTAAATCAACATGGCGTCACCGTTCGCCATCGTCGCCGATATCGAGAAATCCTCGGATGCAAGATTTTTGCCGAAGAATTTAGAAGCCTTCCAGGTGAGAAGTATAGTAAATTCTCTCCAATTGTCCCTCAGCTTGTAAACAAAATTGGACAATTTTCCTTGTTTTTATAGTCGTCGATTGTCAACAACTGTAAAAACGAATCACGAGGTTCCTCATTCCAAGCTGTCCATTTTTGTTTACAAGCTGAAGGAAAATTGGGAAGAATTTACTGTAGTATACGCTCTTCTGAATAATGTTAAACAATGTAGAATATAACTTCCCAGTGAAATGATAGATGACGACAGAATAAATAAATGGTGTATATAGTAAAATATATATAGTAAATATATAATAAAAATATATAATATATAATATATATATATAGTAAATATATAATAAAAATATATAATATATAATATATATAAAAATATAAATATATAAATATAAATATATATATAAATATATAAAAATGTAAAAATATAAATATATAATATATAGTAAAATAAAATGGTATATACAGTGACAAAACTTACTGTACAAACAATAAAAACTGTAAAACAGTAAAAAATTTACTACATTCGAGCCTCGCGGCTTGTTTTTATAGCCGCCGATTGTCAACAACTATAAAAACGAGCCACCAGGTTCGAATAATCGTATCTCCTTTTCCCAAGTTGTCCATTTTTGTTTACAAGCTGAGAGGGAATTAGAGAGAATTTACTGTGCAAAGATAGGAAATTGCTTCGTAAATTTATTCGGGAGATGTTTTTTCGGAGAAAGTTGCTGCCTTGTTTGATTCACTATGTTCCTGTTTCGTGGGTTTGTTGCGTTGGAAGCAACACTGAACGTGTCGAAACGTGGCATCAAGTCTCAAGGAACATCAACACAAATACTCGAAAATACTAAAGTGAAGGACGATACTTAAGATGCACCGAGAATGATTTTTATTCGAATACTTAAAATCATTGAACCCATGAAGTGAAATGAAGGACACGATTCTATGAATCGCTTTTAATGTTGTTGACTTCTTTCTTTCACAATATTTCATTTTTATGTTTTTTCATTTCATGGTCTATGTTTTTTCTTGTATTAGAAACAACAGCTACGATGTCGAAAGGCAATACCACGTATTTGGAGAAGAAATTACGTTACAAGATAACGAGTATTAAAAAATCTATTAGTAAGTACGCAATTAATTTAGAACCAAGTCTATATGTAATTGTATTTCATAGATCTAGATTTCATAGACTAAATATGTAGTATCACCGCAAGTAATACAACACTTCAATGTTTCAAAACAGGTAAACCATTATTTCTAACAGTATAATAAATATCATAGCTGGATGATCAACGGCTAGCAAAATCCATCGAAGTTGACAGAAACGCAGGAACCGACATTGACGCGTCACCGGTGGAAAAACCTCATGAGAACATCGGATATCCGGTGCATTCAGCTTCACCCTAATGTATTCACCATAGCGTAACAGATAGCTGGAACATTAGAGCAAATCGAACGAAAGAGGACGATCAATTTTTCTACATTAACTCCGAATGCCTATTTATCTCGTGAGATCAAGGAGTTCTTTTTGGTCCGATGACGTCTGAAGAACAAGTTTCTCGAACGGAGCATTCCTATCAATGACAAAATCTTTTCGAGAGGAACCCGATTAATCTCGGATAAAACGACACCGAGAAAAGAAACGAAGATTCGTTGGAAATGAGTGAAAGTATAGCGGTACATTGTACAGCTCGCCGAATTCCTCGGAGAAATTTCGAAACTTCATTAGCACCGACAAGATTGACACAGTACAGTAAATTCTCCCCAATTTTCCTTCAGCTTGTAAACAAAAATGGACAATTTGGGAGGAGGAGATACGATCATTCGAACCTCGCGGCTCATTTTTACAGTCGCCGATTGTCAACAATTATAAAAACAAGATACAGTAATGTCTCCCTAACTGACGCTCAGATTATGCACAAAGATGGACAATTTGAGAAGAGGAGATACGAGCCTGCGGCTCGTTTTTATAATTGTGGACAATTTATAACTATAAAAATAAACCACAAGACTCGAATAATCGTATCTTCTCTTCTCAAATTGTCTATTTTTTTTGGACAATCTGAGCGTCAATTAGAGAGACATTACTGTACGAGGCTTAAATAACTGTATCTCCTCTTCCCAAATTGTCCATTTTTGTTTACAAGCGAAGAAAAATTAGGGAGAATTTAATGCATGTACCTCGAGCTGCGTGTCCGTTTGTTTTGTGCCATTTCGTTGTATCGTTGCGTGTCATAGTTGCATACAAATAGACATCGGTACAGTCTACGGACGGAGGACTCGATGTGTTGCAAGAGATGGATCTCAGTTCACGAACATCGTCCGAATGTATCGTGCATCAATATTTAACATGTGTTGCGAATAAAATTGTCAACAGTGATGGGATCAAGTTCAATATACACCGGCAAAAGTTGAGAAACATGTTACACAGATGCATGTTCTTGAGTGCAGGAAACCGTCGTAACAGAGAATAAAAATTTGTATCGTGTGTCAACGAAAATATCAGTTTTATCTTTTTATAATTTTTCAATTTTTAATTTCTAATTTCTATTTTTGACATTTGTCTTTTGCACTAAATAAAACATTATCGCAATACAAACGATGTGTTATGTGCTTCATTATAATACAGGGTGTCCCAAAAATGTCTCGCAAACCGGAAATGTTCCTGGCATCATTTAAAGTAATGTTTTCCTTAGCGAAAATGCAATCCGTGGCTTCGTTTACGAATTATTAACGAGAAACACCGATCAATGAGAGGCGAGTTCGCCTAGTGCTTGGCGGCCGAGCCAATGAGCGCGCGAAGCCCAGTTCCGCTCATTGACTCGGTCGCCTCGCGCCAGCTGAGCTGGGATTCGACCGCCTCGACCGCTGGCGCCGTTGGCCCGGCCGCCTCGACCGCTGGCGCCGTTGGCTCGGCCACCTCGCGGCAGCTGATCTCGCCTCTCATTGATCACTGTTTTTCGTTAATAACTCGTTAACGGTGCCTCGGAGAACATTTTTATAAAGGAAAAAGTTGCTTCAAATGACCTGAGGAAACCGCCACTTTCGGATTGCGAGACATTTTTGGGACACCCTGTATAATTGTTGACAATCGGTAACTATAAAAACAAAAATACAAGGTTCGAATAATCGATTGAAATAATAAACAATTAAAAGTATCGGAGAGTATTGAATTACTATCTTCGGTCAAAGACGGAGAAAAAGTAACCTGGTTAACGGTTAACTATCTATCCCGTCTGGATCCGGGTCTATTTAAAACCATTGCTTTTCTGCTTCGAAATCATGTGAAACACATTCAAAACTATCCAGATTCGCACTTCTTTGCCATACGCTCGATCCCGTCTCTCGTTATCGACGACTTTGATCGACACGATGCAACTTGCGCCATCCGCGAGCTTCGCTTTCAGCTGAGAAAATCCGCGAGGACTATGAAAGTACACGAATATCCCGCGTTGCTCCATTATTTTTGTGTCAGTGGGTCATGGTAGTGAGCATTGTCCCACACGCCATTCATACGGCAAGTCCACGCGCCCGTGAAACCCGCGCGCGCGTGCTCCTGCGTGTTGCACGCGCGACAACGGCATCGCATTATCTAGGCACTCTGTGTTTCACATGAGTTACCGGGGTTTTTATATACGTTTTACGTACCATTTGGATTCGTTTGTCAGACGAATCTAGACACTAGAATTAATTTGCAGTCCTTTGGAACTTCAATTATGTCACTATTGCGACGTTTTTGACGCGTAAGCAGATATCACGTTCGTGTTTTAAATGAAACGCTATAGTTTTGTCTAGTTGTGTGCGGTGGATATTTTTAGGTGAATTCGATATATCATATCAAAGCATTCGAGATCGGCAAAATTCGAAGACAAGTTTTAATTCCTTGAAATCTTTAGGCTCTTAAGTTGTGTTCTTGTCAATCGTTTATCGAATCACTCTAGTTTCTTAAACATTTCTTAAACAACAACTTCATGTAAATGTTCATAATAGGTATTTTTAAATACCTATATATAAATAACAAATTTGATCACTTAAATAGAAAAAGTTGAAAGAACATTTTTTCATTTTATTATCATCCCAACCAATTGCAATTTTTGAAAACAACTCTTTAGTCATTGTCTTGTAAACTAGTCTTTCCGTCATCTAAAAATATTCAAGTAGTTTGGTTCAATTTCAAAAAAGTTATTCCGTTTCAAAGAATGCTTCAATATTTTCGTGACCGACCGTAAATAATGTTCCCCATTTTTTATCTTTTTAGACACGAATGACCGAATGCTGTTGCTTTCATTGTCTACTATAGTTCCAAGCATGAACATTGTTAGATTAATTACTAGACCATAAATGTGAAACGGAAAAATAAACGCTACCGCAGGAAGGTCATAATTATTTCAAATATACAACAGTCATAAGATTATATGGACTGTATATTAAATATATATATATATATTTCTGACTGTCTATTAAATAAATATATATATATATATATATATATATATATATATATATATATATATATATATAATAATCCGTACGTGAAATAAATGTAGGGATGACACGACGATGATAGCGAGCATGCCGAATAGAAAATCGAAGTACACGTGTCGCAATGATTAAAGTAAATGGTCCGAGACTGGTTGCAGCTCGGCGCCGAGACAAAGGATCTCTCCGGCCGATTGATTTATGAATTAATGAGCGACGACGCACAAGGATGAGCACAAATAAGCGTACGCCCCGTCGCCGGTGCCGCATACCTAATCGCTAACGATAATGTTTTGTTCGTTGCGTCATTATCGAGCTGCGTTTCACGCAAAGTGCACCGAGTCGAACCAAGGAATCAGCGGCCGTAAATAGCCTCGATTAATTGATTTAATTCGCGACCGTCCGGAAGCAATTATGATTAATTGACCAGCTCCGATTTTAACTATACTTCCTATTCCCACGTTCATCTGGTAAGAAGATCGCGCGAGGCTGCGAGTCGACAGCTACTGACCAGACTAAATCCTTTCCATCCTCGTCTCCTGGATCCTACGATCATTTTTTTTCTCGCTCCCACGGCATCGAACCCCTTATGTTTATTCATAACTCTCAAGGACATCGGCCGAGACATAAAGAGATTTCGTGGCCGACGTAGACGAGACGGGAGAGGCCTCGTACATTTTCACGGCGATAAATTTGCCCTCCGTAATATTTTATCGCTCGCGAATCGCACCTTTCGGGAGGACCGAAGCGAAAAAAGTAGATCGTGCCGCTTCGAAAGATCGACGCACGAAATACAATAATGTCTCCCTTACTGACGAGTATTAATGTTAATATTATTAATATATATTATTGCCCAC